AATTTTATTAAATTATAAATTACACAAAGATTTCTTGGGTCGTCCCGATTTGAACCGTAATAGAGTCGCAAAACTGTCTGATTAAATTAGATTCAACGGAGAATTGTTAGTGTTTACAATATACGATTAAAATCCAAATAAGATATATAGTGTAATTTACAAAATTACTATTATGTATCCTAATAAATAGCTGTAAGGCAGCCTTTGATGTAGCACATTTATGTATCTTTTTTTTATTTTTCTGTGTCAAATATGAGTTTATTATAATGATTAAATACTTAATGGATTTAATCACAAGATGATACATCAGACTATATCGTTTGTAAATAAAGCACAAACTTAATATAACATTAAAATATTTTAATTAAATTCCTGCCCATTCAACCAATCATAAAATGCACCCCAAATGAAGAGATGTTAAACTTTAACAGCATCGTAAATCCAGGTATGAGGATCGATTTCCGCGTAACTTAGGTGACACCGTAAAATCTGTTCAACATGGCCAGGGATGGGTTTATGGGAAATTTTATATTTTACGATAACACTCATATAAGATACTCATTGTATCGCCCGTCAGTGTGTACACTAAAGTGTGCAGTTTAATGAAATTTTATGTACGCAATAAGTCGACAAAAACTCCTTATTTGTGCATATTGTATACGATATAATAACAACAATTCAAAAAGAGCACCTAGGCCCAAGATAAACAGAACTTAAGCTATGGGTACTAGATAACTGATATAAATATCGAAACTGAAAAAAAAAGAAGTGAATCCGCGACGATCGAAAGAAACGCGGCGTGCTAAACCACTAGACTACCGAGACCGTAAAATTATTACTAAATTGTTTTGTAAATGTTCTGAGATTTGATGAAGGAATTTTATTAGACGCTAAGTTATTTGTTAATTGCTATTTATTGCTATTTATGAGCACAAACAATACATACTCGGGTACATGCGGTAACCCTTCGCTAACCGCCCGGGTATTTCCAGCCCGCCGCACTCGGTTTAGGAAACAAACATGGTATTAATTCCTCTGGTATTATTGGCCAAGAATTAAGCGGTCTGGTGTAGACGGCTTAATGAAACGAAGATGAGATATGGGGCTTAAATATCGGCTAGAGGTGTTTTATGCGACAAATAGTGCTGGCAACACTATATAATATTATGATAAATTTGCAGTAATGTAATTTTATATATGGCAACTCTTTTGCCGTTCACCCCTGTTGTGCATATAATACGCTTCGTAGTATTAAATAAATTGTAAACACTAAAATAAATAAGAAATTTAGCAACCAAAGGCTTTTATTTTTGGACCACCATCACAAGAAGATGCCTCTACGAACAGCTTCGAATAACCGGTTAAATAGTGCGTTTTGCGTTTTACATTGCAGTTTTTACTAAAAGTAAATTGTTGGGTAGTTTCTAAGCACAATTATATACAATTAGGTTATTGTGTAATTTAAATTTGATTGTATTATCACATACATAGATGATGGCTTACATATCAGTAGAAGTCATTGATGGTCAAGGATATGATTTTTATTGAAAATCATTTTAAACGTATATGTTCTTTTTAGTTCTGGTTTATGTACAACAGAATTTACCTATGCTCAGGCATTTAGTACTTGATGTAATGTATGATTTCGTCAGTCAGTTAGTGCGTTTAGTATGCTTTTTCTTATATATAAAATGTATTAATTTGTTTCTGATATATCAGTGGCCAGTTTAAAAATGAAGAAATTCTCAATTCTGTGTTTTTGTTCATGAGTTACGCGATTCCTGTGTTCGCCAAATTCGATTTTAATATTTACTCTTTTAAAAGAATATATTTGTACTGTTCTTATCCTGGCTTGTTTTTTAAAGTTGTTTTTATGGTTTTCTTGTAAAGTACATTCTGATCATTTGTGTCAATATAATTGCATATTTATTTAAATGTGTTTTCTTTTTTACAGGTAAGAAATATAACCTTTTTTACTTTCTCTGTAAGTATTGAATATTTTTTTAAGCCTGAACAATTTGGTACATATTATAGTAATTATTAACCATCAACAATAACAAAACTTCTATACCCAGATTTACATTCCAACATTTGTCACTCCATTGTTCCCCAAAACTTTCAACATTCCTTGGCAATAGATTCAACACGAGACTTAATTCTAAGTGGGTATTAATTCCGCTATATATCAAACGAGATAGTTTCTTCGGGCCTTAACTACCCTCCCGCATACAAAGGGTTGAATTAGATTCATTTTCAATCCAATGGATATATTGAGCAATGATTTATTTATTATCCTCGTTTTAGGGTAACAATATAATGTCTATGATGTAATTTAAATCAATGTATTTGTTTACATCTAACGGGTGTACCTCAAGGATCTACTCTTGGACCTATATCTATTCTTACTTTATATTAAACATCTTGCTTTCCTCTGCTTTGTAAATAAGACATATTATTACCCGCTTTTAAGGTTTTTTTACAATATACAGGTGAATTATAATTAAGACGACATTTATGATAAAAAGTTTGCTGGTTGCCTTGCATTGGCTTACTATCTAATAAAGTACAGATAAAAAAATATTATTTGTCTTTATTATAGTATAATGTAATGTTACAAATCTAAAAGATACAATCTAAAAAATATAAGTTAATTTTTCTGTTTTGAATAAATTGAAAATACACTGATTATAATTATTAATAAAAAAGACAATACCGTGAAGTGATAAAAAGTATTAACAAACACACATGCCTGACTTCTAAAGCACCAACGCAATGAAAACGCCATAATTTTCCCATACAAAGTGACAGATAAGCATCGAAGCCATGGCACGAAAGCGCAATCAAATAACCATTTTATTGGTAACGATTTATTCAGAACACAAGTGAAGTTTAACGGAAATAAAAATCGTGCATAAACAAACACGCTTTACGGTAGGTCGTTGGCTTGCAACTTTATATTTGTGGACACATTCGTCATATTGGAGGTCAAATAATGTCTAACTAAACATATGTAAGTACATAAAAATAAATACACGGTACACTAAAAATAGTATATATTTATTAGGCGTATAAATTATCCTTTTCAACATCTTAATCAGCATTATTACAGAATGTATCTATATCCAATAATATAGATACATTCTGTAATAATGCTGATATAAGTGTTCGTTTATTTGGTACGACTCGGTAAACGACGCGATATCATGAATGTTTTATTACAATACGATTTATATATTTCACAACAACGTTTCTATGATAAATATTCCCAATTAGTTAATTAATAAGTTATCCTGACTATTTTGATTATTTCATTTAATAACATTATTTTTCCTAATTTTATAAGATTAAGTGCATACCTGTCATAATTTTGTTTTTGTGTAGTTAATCTTTCAAGTACTTGTAAGTTTAACTGAGAAGAGTTTTCAAAGCATATGAACTGATTTAGTTTTTTCTTCAAATTTACATGAACGTCGTTGCTCTTTGTGTTCGTGTGTCGATTCTATTGTTGATATTGGCCTGAGGTCAAAGTGATGAGATTGTAAAGCGTGATTCTCCCAAATAGAATCAGACAGAAACTGGTTATTTAGCATTTACATTATGCTCTGACCAAAAAAATGCTTCCATTACACTCTACCCCTCTGTTGCAGTTGATTCACTATGGTAATGATGATTGATCATCACTTCCCCCAGTAATTATCACTTTATTGACTATTAAAGACCCTTCTCTTATATTTAAAGCAGCTATTAAAATAGTTGTTTGGTTTTTAAAGTACGTGACGTAGAAATGATTAATGAGATAACTCGAAAGTTAATTTGGAAATCGGACATTTCTTTTCTTTCATAATTTTAATTGATGTTTATGAAATTTTACTTTGATACTAATATTAATAACAACCCCTGGATAATTCAAACAACGCCATTTGGCAGCAAGCTAAGCCTAGCTTGTGTAATGTGTACTAGACAATTGATGTAAATACCCGGACAAATACAAACAATCATAATCATAAAGAATACAAATGTTTGCAATACATTTGAATTGATATTTTTAAACTATCTTTTACTTATACCAAGATAAAAATATTCCACTCATCATTCATTTTAGTCACTTGTACGTAAGTTTATATATATATATATATATATGACAGAAATGTAACTGGTCGCTGTCTGAACATGGAAGATATATGAGAAAAACTATTTTTGGAGGAATTTATCAATATAATAATGCCCAATGCTTTTATTGTTAGAATTTTTATCCATCGCTGATTTGGATGCGATATTCGCTAATGTATTCGGTTTAGCACACCGCCTTACTTCCGATAGTCGTAGGTTTGAAACCTCGCTCATTTTCTTAAATATGATTATTTGTCTAGGTATTCGCATTTATTGTATTATGTGTGCGTTTATAAAAAATATATTAAAGTTATTAATTATCTTTCATTTGTTTAGTTCCCATAATAAGCTCTACTCAGCTTAGAACGGAGTACTTATAATGAGTTTGTAGAATATTAAGGTTTTCAACCCTCCTAGGGTTAAGTCATGAAATAAAAAGGTACTTAACAAATTATGAAAGAATCAGTTTAATTTATTTGATATACTTATTTTTATTAATAAAAAAATGTAATTATGTACTCATATTAAGAATATGATGAAATTTTTTTGTATTTAATATATTCGTAATCTTTCTATCATACTTCAAATTTTCTTTATTTATTTGGGTTACAGTATCGTATTATATTGCGCAGTACATATTTTTATGTTTTTTAAGAAATATTCTATTGACGTCAAATAGAATATATTTGACGTAAAGCTAGAAGTTATTGAGTGACAGTTTTCCCTTTATCTGTAAAACTATTGGCTACTATCTACTTAGGAAGAAATAGAATATGTCAATGTTGATATGATATTAGAATATTATCAAGGTCGATAAGACCCCAACGTAGATAAGAAATAAATCTCAGTTAGTTCTTAAAGTTAGTGTTAGTATAGAAATAGCACGTACAATGACAGTTTCAAAAGAATATACAAATTATTCGAGCAGAAGAAAAATAAAGAATTATGCAAGAAAAGTATGCAGTACGAAAACATTGAAAAAACGTCTACCAATACTAGAATGGTTACCGAAATACAATTTGTCTTTTCTGCTTCAAGATGTATTGGCAGGAACAACAGTTGGACTTACAGCGATATCTCAGGGCATAGCATACGCAGTGATCGCTGGTTTATCACCAGAATATGGACTTTATGCATCATTAACAGCCGGTTTTGTTTACATTATATTTGGAAGCTGTAAATTTGTTACTGTGGGACCAACAGCAATAGTTTCAACAATGACTGGTAAATACGTGGCAGGTTTCTCACCAGATTTTGCGATTCTAGCGGCATTCCTGTCTGGTGTAATAATATTATCGATGGGAATTTTTAACCTCGGATTCCTTGTGGAATTCATATCTATGCCAGTGATAAAGGGATTTACTACAGCCGCTGCCCTCCAAATTATGGCGTCGCAACTGAAATCTTTATTTGGCCTTACTGGCGCTGCTGGTAGTTATTTCGCAGAATCAGTCTACAATTTTGTTAAAAATATTAAGAGTGCAACTCTGTGGGATCCTGTATTGGGTTTTATTACGATTGCCATACTTCTGTTATTAAAGAAAATTGGTGAAGGTTGTAAACGTACTGATGGCTTAGTTAAACAGATAAGATGGTTTATTTCTCTTGCCAGAAATGCTGTGATTGTGGTTGTTGGCATGGCCGTGGCTTACGTTATTAAAATTACAATGGACAGTGAGCCTTTGGCTTTAGTGGGTGATATTGGCAGTGGACTACCTTCGATTGGACCTCCACCGTTTTCTACAGTTTTCAATAATCAAACATATTCATTTTTAGATATGCTACAAACTCTGGGCCCAAAATCGATAAGTCTACCTTTGGTTATAGTAATTGAATCAGTCGCTATAGCAAAAGCTTTTTCTGAAGATGGTCGAGTAGATGCCACTCAAGAAATGATTGCTCTTGGACTCTGTAATATTATCGGATCATTTGCAAAAAGTATGCCAATAACTGGTGCGTTTTCACGAGCAGCTCTAAATTATGCATCTGGAGTTCAAACTCAAGCTGGAGGCATCACTAACTGTTTACTTATAATTGTGGCGCTTACAATTTTTACTTCTACTTTTTACTATATACCAAAAGCATGTTTGGCAGGTTTAATCATAGTTGCCATGTTTTCAATCATGGATAATAAAATATTCTTAAAACTCTGGAAAGCTAGCAAAAAAGAGTTTGTTGTTTTAATAATCACTGTGATCGTATGCTTATGTGTAGGTTTAGAGTATGGCATCGTTACAGGTGTAGCAGTTGAAGCATTAATGTTGTTATTTAAGCAATCTAGACCAATAATTGACGTAAAGATATTGAAAAATGATACTGGAGAAATAACCCTTATTCCGTTACCTGAAGTTCTATCATATTGTGCTGCTGAACACCTTAGGAGATTACTCCTAAAGGTTTCAACACGATTGGATACTAACAGCGTGACAGTTATTGATGGAGCAAATTTAAAAAGTATGGACTCTAGTGTGGCAGCAAATATACTGTCAGTGATAGAGGATTATGAAAAAAGAGGTTGTCATATGTGGCTTTTAAATTTTAATAATGATATAAAACATATGTGTACTGTTGTTAATCAAAATATTTCTGGCAAATTTGTTAATGCTCCAAATGTACTAGATTTGACTGTAGCATTTCGAAAAGAAGTATAAATATTAACATTTAACATTTTTGATACGTAATTTCTTTTTTGCAATTGTATTAATAATATTATATTATATTAATATATATTTTTGTTTCCTGCATCTGAGCGGGACAACTCACTCATTCTTATGACCCATTTTGAAACATCCGTTGAATAATCAAGTGACCTTTCAGTATTTCAAAATATATACTATAAATATGCATAATTAAAATATTTTGTACTGTACAAATTTATTATGTTATACAATATGACTCAATGACTGATGCTTTCTCTTGAAACGTTATTAAAGGTAATAGAAGTTTTTATAAAACTTTCTCACTATTAATAAAAATGTTTTATCCACTATCTAAGTTTTTAGTATTTAAGTATATACTTAGAATATTTCTATTAAATCTTAATACATCTCAACTGATAAACAAACTAATGTTACATGAATCCTTAGCGGCATAGATATGCCAAATTATTATCGAACCTCTATATGTTTTTGTTCATCTGAAGTTAACAAAGTCTGTGTTAAAATTAATCTATGTCATAACTACGTCATAAAATATTACTTATTTTTCTAAAGAACTATATGTTCTAACATAGATACAATAATCATCTTATGTCAATATAATATAATGGATATTGATAAGCTGTTATCTCACCTTGTGTTATCGGTCGCGATTTCAATTTTCCCAGTTCAGTGGTCGCACTTCCGAGACTTGCGTTTTAGATATTCGGCCTTTTGGTAAGATCTTTTCCACGCTATTAGAAACTGAGGTTTAATTAAGCTTTCTTTTCTTTCTTATAACACAAGTCTATTTTCTTTTAGTCATTTCCGTTCATTGTTTTGACCTCGCATTTAATAATAAAAAAGCTTAGTGTATGATATTCTGTATTTAAATAGTTTATATTATAATGTACAATATGTTAACAATGTATTGATTTTTTTAGAATCAACGCCTGTAATTTTGATATATCTATCTATATGCTGTACAATTATTACGATATGCATACTTTGAATTAAAAAATAATATGATTTGGTTTAAAGTGTTCAAAAATATTATGTATGTTATAAACGGGTTTATTATAAATAGTATTAATATCTTGTCTTTTTATAATTGCGTAATTATTATTATGTTATAAGTTATTTACAAGTGTTATTGTTAGAATCGGTAGACGAATAATTAACTGAACTCTAGAACAAAATATTAAGAATATAATTGAATAAATAAAAAAATTAATATATTGATAAAAATAATGTTAGTGATCTGATTGTGTAACAGTAAGTACAAATACATTTTACAAAATGAAAGTTGTTGTATAAAAATTTTCATCATTAATTGTGACATTTGTAAATTTTATCAGTTTGTGTACAAATATGTACTGTATATGTGAGATTAAGTGTAATAAATAAATAAATAATACTAAAATGATTAAATATTAAGTTACAAATATGAATTGTTTCATTATTATATAAAAATTGATATTTCATAACATGACATAAAGGCTGCAAATTACTGTCATAAGCATGAGTATCTCTTTATAATATATCTATATTATATGCTTCATTATGGCGTAATACTACTCATGCGTTGTCATTCCTGAGGACGAAGATGTCATGCCTCTTATCTTGTTATATCACTGACTAGTCTCAGCATTTTTTTCGAATATTCTTTTCATCCGTGAATATTTCTACTTTGTTTCTCCAGTTATCTTACGATATTTACCTCTTATCCATCAACAACTCCTTGTCATTAAAAGGAGTGGAAACCCATTGTAATCCTTCTGCATCACTACATATAAATAAAATGACAATTAATAGCATAACCATTATAATTACCTCTTCCAATGTGTCTAAAAAAGGTAAAAAGTCAACGTTCGATAAAGTGACTTTTAAAATTATAATATTAGATAAATATATTGCCCATATTATTATGTATATATAAAATATTGTCAGTAGATACAATCTACGTATATGTCATGTCATTACTTACGTCGAAGGACATTTATTTATTTTTTTATGAAGTTTGAATGGGTTTTGCAGTATACTTTGTCTTCGCCTATATACTCATACATACATGAAGCCTATATATTCATACATACAGTCGTCATACCACTTATGCGTTGCCACTCTAGAGGTATAAGATGTCTTTATGAGATTATGATTTTTTGTACGAGTACCTACTTGTTGATTGCTATGAATATAATACAATTTTTTAAAAATATAACTTTATGTTATTGTTAATTTTAACTTTAAAATTTAATATCATGATTATAATTCATCTGTAACTAGTATATTATACATTGTAAACTTTAAACTTTGGTTACATTTGTGACATGTGAGACATCCTCTAAGATTGGTTTTTCCTTGTTTGCGATTTGAATTTGAGATAACAGTATCACTGAGTAGACTATAGGTACCTAGATTATGATATATATATAATAATTAGTATGGATGAAGGGAAATGGTATAAAATCCAATTACTGTTTTATTCTTAACTAGCTGTACCCGCGGTTTAACCTGCATTTAATTTCAATTTATAAATATAGCCTATATGTTATTCTAATGCATCAAAATCCCTCTCATTTAGGCCGTTGTGTATGTAGAGCCAAGACTACTAAAGTAGCCAGCCAAGCTCCTCCCTGAAGAGCAGAAGCCTCCTGGTGTCTTCACAGGATTTACAGAGGGATCTCACCGTTACGAGGATTTGTGTACATTGCAACGCAACTGCAACCAACCACTGCAACGCACTTAGAGTTCGTTTTCCTGAGTTTTATTACTGGATTTACTTATACCATGCAATTATCATTATAGTCGCAGTATAGAAGTAAAACCTCCTTCAAAAGAATCACTAAAGTCGATGCAACGTCAGCGAAGATATCACATGACGCATAAAGGTATAAATACAGAATTGTGTATTTGATTTTTTCAAAATAATATCAATGAGAGATGTAAATGATACCGCGATCATAACTTGCATACTAATAAGATTGACAAATTGATAAGAACTGATAATATTGAGTACCATAAAGTTAGTCTGCTTTTGCTGTTGAATTGAGTGTATCAAGTGTGAGAATAATGGCAGTTTATTCTGAAAATAATAATGGTATTTTATATCGAAAAAGACTTAAAAAACATGCTGCTAGTGTCTGTAAAGTGAAAAGCATAAAAAAACTACTCCCAATTACCGAATGGCTACCGAGATACAACCTTTCGTTTCTTATTCAAGATATAATAGCTGGAATAACCGTTGGACTCACAGCGATACCTCAAGGTATAGCATACGCTGTCGTCGCTGGACTCTCGCCGGAATATGGTCTTTATGCATCACTAACATCTGGATTCGTCTACATAGTATTCGGAAGCTGTAAATATGTAACCGTTGGACCAACAGCAATAGTTTCAACTATGGTTGCAAAGTACGTACTAGGTTACTCGCCGGATTTTGCAATATTAGCGGCATTCCTGTCTGGTGTACTTATATTACTGATGGGTGTTTTCAATCTCGGTTTTCTAGTGGATTTTATATCATTACCAGTTATAAAAGGTTTTACTATAGCTGCAGCGCTTCAAATTGCTGCGTCACAACTGAAGTCTTTCTTTGCTCTTGCTGGTCCATCGGGAAATTATTTTGCAGAATCTGTATATTATTTTGCTATAAACATTAAAACTGCAAGGCTCTGGGATCCCATACTTGCTACGATTACAATCATCATGCTCATACTATTGCAGAAACTTGGTTTAGGTTGCAAGCGTACTGATGACTTATTGAAACAAATAAGATGGTTTATTTCACTTGCTCGAAATGCTGTGGTTGTTGTTATTGGAATGATTGTCGCTTACATTATAAAAGTAACTTTAGATGATGAGCCTTTAGCTTTGGTTGGAAATATTGATAAAGGTTTGCCGAAAATTCAACCACCACCTTTTAATACAGTTGTTGGCAATGAAACTTATTTATTTTCGGATATGCTGGAAGTATTGGGTCCACAATCAATAGTTTTGCCTTTGGTAGTAATTTTGGAATCAGTGGCTATATCTAAAGCTTTTGCTGAAGGAGGTAAAGTTGATGCTACACAAGAAATGATTGCTCTTGGTCTATGTAATATTGTGGGATCGTTCGCAGGAAGTATGCCAATAACAGGTTCGTTTACCCGAACAGCTTTAAATTATGCATCTGGAGTTCAAACGCAAGCTGGTGGTGTCACTAAATGTCTTCTTATAATTGTGTCACTTACATTCTTGACGTCCACTTTTTATTATATACCGAACGCATCGTTGGCTGGTTTGATAATAGTAGCCATGTTCTCAATGATCGAGTATGAAATAATTCTTCAACTTTGGAAAGTCAGCAAAAGAGAGTTCTTTCTATTGACAATTACCATAATTGTTTGCTTGTGTACGGGTTTAGAATACGGTATAGTTGCTGGTATTGTACTCGAAGCTTTAATATTATTATTTTACCAGTCACGCCCAACAATACAAGTGAACACGTTAAAAAGTGATGCAGGAGAGATAACTGTTATTACCCTACCAGATGCTGTACCATATTGTGCCGCTGAGCATCTTAGAAGATTACTTCTGAAGGTTTCTATGAAATTAGATGCTAATTATGTAACAGTTATCGATGGAACCAATTTAAAAAGTATGGACACTACTGTAGCTGCGAATTTACTGTCAGTAATTGAAGATTATGTGCGGCGGTTGCGTCCTATTTGGCTTTTAAATTTTAATAGTGAGGTGAAAAATATGTGTCTTGTTGTTAATAAAAATATCTCTGATAAATTTATAAGTGCTCCAAATGTTCTAGATTTTGCTATATCATTTCGTAAAGAAGTATGAATGTTAATTAACATTGCAAATAATAAGAAATTGTACATACTTATTATTTTTTTAGTTATAAATCAACATAATAATAAGGGCTAACTTTTAGAAATAAGAATTATTGCAATTTAAATCCACTTTTAAAATTGACTTTTTTTTAAATCGGTCCATTAGTTTCGAAGTGAAATTTAATACATCCAAACAAATAATATTAGTATAGATATAAGAGCTGGATTTGAATACTATTTATGTAATTTGTATTCATTGTTATTGAAAACATGATATAATATTGACTGTATTCCAAAATACAGCATTTTTGGATGATTCAAATATATTATAAGCTGATACAAGCACTCTATAATCGATCCAAGGGACAAAGGAGTCGCGTAAGGCTGCCGGATTGGGACCCCTCAAATATTTCTATTCTATTGCTCAGTTGATCGCGTCAAAGAGGGGTGTCAAACAGATTCCTGAAATTTATTAACGTGAGTCAGCACTTCTGAAACTGGCAGATTTATGATTTTATCCTAATAAGTGTTATGGGAAGAGAGACGTTTAGAGTAAACGTTGTGTTATATAGAGGTATACTAAGTTGTGTTTGTAAGCATGAAATTAAATAATAGATACCTTATCCTACATTCTATTTATTATTCTTATTAATAGTTTGTAAATTGCTAATAAGCTTTATAAGAAAGAATACGTTTATAATTCTATTGTATTATTTATTATTTAATGTTCTAGCAAGTTTAGTTCCGAGTTTATTATTGTATAATAAAAATTATAAGTTTCAGGAGAATGTCTTGAAAGTTTGTTATAATTAAATATATTTCTAATTTTATTTATATTTGTATTATTATTTTGGTTAGAAAATCTTAACAAATTTAAATGTCTAAATTTTACACTTTAATTAGATTTTATAAGAATAAAAAATAGCTTAAAGCATTTTTTGCCTAAATACTATATTAACTTTCATATTGATTACTTGAACCTCGAAGTCCTCGTACACATATTATATAATATTAGTAAGGATGAAAATATTATAGATACTCGAAACAATTTAAATTTACATACAGAAGAAAAACCTGTTAGTAGACCTGATGTAATTGAATCTTTATATAACAAAATAAAAGATTTTGACAGTATTAAAATAAAACCGAAATAAAAGATGAATCATGAACATCTTTTCGAAACCGATAAAGATGTACTGTATACGAAATAAAAAGTATAATTAAAGTGAGAAGCTTCTTCATTTTTAATTTAGTTGAAAATCCATGTATGTGGAAGATATAAGTAATTGTTGGTCGTCACCTAGACATGAAATATATGAGTTCCACGCTTTAAAACTATTTCCGTCTACACGTGCTTCATACTCAATTTCCTCTCGTACCTGATACGAGATCGCAAACAGGAAAATTGTTTCCACATAATAAGGCATGCTTCATGATAAAATGTCTGCATTAGTTCCGGTTCTGCAACTGAGAGAGTCCTCTGCGCCGTCTCCATTCGAAAATTCATCTTCGCAAATATTACTACCTAACTGCTTTCCATATTTATGTCGTATGAAATATACCTTTGTGAGATACTGCAATTGAATCTCTTTTATATATCTATATGTTTATAGTACAACGATTGTGTTGTACTTATGTATTATTTATAATTGTAAAATGTTCTTATAACTCTTTTAGTTACATACTTACTCAAATTTTTTTGACAAAAATTCATAGTTTACTTTAAAAACCTGTAGCAGTACGTAGTCTTTACATAAAAGAAAGTCGCCGCCGAAGAAAAATTAAGCAACGGATTTTAAAGAAGTTTTCTGCTATAGATAGAGTTATTCAAGAGGAAGGTTTATATATATAATACATGCGTGTTGTATAGAACAAGCCTAGAAATTCAAAGACTTGTCTTGAAAATTCAAAGCCGGCATACGTCTCTAGTTATGTATAAGTTAATATAGATGTTTTATTGAAATAAGTATACACTGATTGATGATACCATCACGACTCTAATCTCAAATGGGGTAGTAAGAGGCATTGTCGCATTACGTCGAATAATTTAATAGGAATAATACGAATTTGTAATTGTTTTAAAAATCTTCCTAAATGCCTACGCTGTGAGCTATTTATTTTGTTATTGTATTACAATAGTATTACAATTATTATATCAGCATTCAAAAGTATAGGATATTCGGGAGTGCAGTGAAACAGTTAAGTTCTAAAATTTACGACCAACCAAAAGTAAATAAGCCATTTTGTTTTACAGCGTCATGCGATTGGGTCACGAAATATTGCTTTCATATTCGCGTGTTGACACAACCTGATTTTTGCTTTAATCCATTTTTAACCTTATCTTATACGCAGCTATGGCTATGACATATTAAATCATGTGGAAATAATGGTTCAGTGCACACAGTTGTTGTCCCTCCCATCCAACCAAGCTTGACCTACGTTCTACATGCATATTTAAAAAAAATCCGAATATTGAACTGACTTTTCAGAGATCATGTTACATTAGCCGCTCTAGTGGGAGTGAAGATACTACCCTGGATCGTTTTTGTGTGAATTTTCAAGCTTCTGAATAGAGAATAGTTTACAGATGATTAACTTTGGCGTTACTGATTCGTTGTGAGGAAATACACCTACCATTTCTGTAAAATATTGAAGCTTTTATGATATTGAAAGTTATACTGAATTTTGTCTGTCTCTTTTGATGTATGTATTCTCTACTATATGGTTATATTAATAATTTTTATATATAAGTGTCGGTTACTATCAATATTTAAATTACACAAGGCATAGCTTAAGAACTAGACAATATGTGTAATTATGCATAGACTAATTATACATATATACAGGTATATATAATTGTCTTCCTTAATACACTTTTGTATCGCATTGAAAAACAAAGGAATGTGTTCAGAGTGACCTCTTTCCCTACAATAATATATATTCATTAATGCTTGTAAAAATTATAAGTTTTAATTGTGAAAAGAACCATATCGGGTAAGCAAAATAAAGTCGAATGTCGCATAAATATGAGAATATTAACAGCTTCTTAAAATAATTGAAATTTAATTTCTGAGTAATGAACACACCAACGAATATCGGTACAGTTATATATAGAGGAAACGGCTTTATCAATATGTAGATTAATTTTCACGAGTCATTAAAATTTCACGTCTCAATAGACATATTTCTCTATCCATTAATCTATGCTTCACGTTAAACGCCGCTTTAATTGGGGTCACTTCTAAAACAAACCCAAGTAGGCATATATTAATATTAACATTACCTCGCGATATATCAACTCAACCCAACACGTCGCTTTCTCGAATCCTTATTGCGACATATTTAAGATCCAAATTTGCACATGCAAAATGTATATCATATTTGTATCTTTCAAATACATGCATCCGAATCGTGAGAACAGCTATTTTCGTACTTACACCTCCTGTAATAGAGTTTATGTTTGTGTAATTTTGTTGTTGACAAGGTGGTCGTATTAAGGGTCGCTGGGCCCTTGTCAAGTGAACTCTGTTCCAGACAGAGGTAATGAAATACCTAGCAAATGAGGCGTAAGTTGCCAATAGCAACCTTTCACGTCACTCATTTTGTACTGTTTCTGACTGAATGTGGGCCGGTTGAATTATGTACGTAGCTGTTAGTTTACAAATAGTTCTCGCTTTGGCTCTTTTTGTTTCAAATTCTGTCTATCTCATTGTTATCATTGCTGCGAACTTTAATAACTGCATTTTTGTGAATTTATATATAGTTTAACTCATTTTTTTGGCAACAAACCATCTTCTTTCATAGCTCTCTATCCATTCACAATGATAATCAATATCATAATATATGATATAATACATGAAGTAAAAACTTTATACCTCTTCTTACGAAAACTTGTGCGGACAGAGAAATATATAATTGCGCACATTTACTACTATTATAAACGCGAGTTAGTGGGTATACATTCACGTAGGTGTGCTAGCATGGCTGGTAGAGAAGGAGTGCAAAATGCTATAATTAATTTTAATTTTCCATAAAAATACATCAAATCAATAAACAAACATTACACACGCTACTATATATTTGACACACACACATAGAAGTATAGTTTTTCATGATAGAACTTTAATGAGATTCAAACTTATAATTTTAATTATTTATGGTCAAATTACGACCTTTGGGCAACCTGTTCACAGTGGGACACACAGTTAAATACAAGAAAATAATATAATTTTATTTACGCTTTTCCAGTTAATTATTATATTCTATTTCTGTATATCATGAATACCATTCAAGGGTATGCTAACAAAATATTCGAATCATTCCGCGTATTTGCGAGTAGATAATAAATATTCAATACGTACATGATAATCTACATCCATTTCGGATAATACGGTTTGCTGGATGATTAATTTCTTTTTTGACTTGCAAGCCTATCCTTGGCCTAACAAAATGGAGTAATCATTTATACAAATAGTAAACAACTCATCATATTTTGTACTGTATATGTTGTAAGTGTAAGTATGTATAGAGATATAGAGCAAGAGAGGAAACGGTGCATATATTATTTTTAAATCCAATAATTTAATTTATGCTTGCTGCAATTATTTCTGCATTTCAAATCACGTCATATTATTTTTTTAATTTATTTGACTTATTTAAAGTAAGTCCTCTGAAACTTGCAATTATATTTATTGTGCATACAAGATGAATCTTCATTAGCATGAGAATTATTGAAGAAGTCCGATCTTAGAACTGCCTACCATTCCTAGTGACGAGGTTCGATTCTCTCGTATAATATTTGTGTTTTTTTGTTTGTATCGGTATTTTTCTATATTTATAATGTTATAAATTATACTAATAATAAAAAAAATATAATGCTAATAATCTGTATTGTAAAGAATAAACTATGTATTATTAACTACTTTTAAAAATATCTTCGTTTGTATGTGTGTTTGTATGTGGGTGAAATGTCTAGGAAAAAAGAAATAACAAGATATAGGATTATACGTA